TCCATACATGCATGTAATTTAAAATATTTAAATAATCGATAAATATTAACAAAGACAACAATTTAAATTTGAATGTAGATGTATTTTTATCGCCTTTCACGCAATAATTGCTAGCGATCGTCAGTTGATTTCAGAAAAACGGTACGTAAATTAGAGGGTGAAAGTTGTGTGTTAAATTCGGATATCTCGGGACGTTCTCTAGAGTAGGTTTGCGCCCGAACGGCATGCGTGAGAACTGTGGAGCGAGTTGGAATGCTTGTCTTTTGCCATTTTTTAAATATAGCGGGAGGGAGGTTGGGTAGGTAGGTAGCATACTTTCTGGTGTGAATGTTAATTATAAGTAGGTAGGACCAGGGCAAGTTGACACAATCTCTGGGGCCGTGTATGCGCATTTTCGCGTGTTCAACTTGCCTCTGGAATTATAATTTGGAAAATTGACGGCGAAACTAACACCACAGTGGAGCGTGTCCCTCGTCTCTGGTTTCGCTTATCGATTTTTTCAAATTTCATCGCGGTCGCAGTCGCGAAATGAGTATCGAAAACGAGCGTATATAGTGCTCGAGATTCTACTACACGAGTAGTAATCATTATGGTGATATAAAGTTTCTTCTTTAGAATTAAAAAATCTCGAGCCTAGATTTAAGTTTCAGCGGGCATGGCGTCCGAAGAGAGAAGAGGCTACAAGCCGAAGAGACCCGGCAAATTGCCATTAGAAGAGGGCAACTACTAATAGCTTTTCATTCTGTGAGTGGAAAATCCACCCACAGCATGAAAAGTTATTCTTGTTACTACTTTGTCATTATGCTCGCCTCTAGCATTCGTAGTATGTATATTTGTTTTTCTGTAAAAGATTTGTTTACTATAATCTCGTCTTATAACTTGAATATTTCGTTGCCAAACCATAAACATGCTTGAATTATATTCGACAAGTGGATAATGATCGGGTAAAAACAAAAATGAAACAATTTTGGAAATTATTTTAAACATATAATATATTCATTTGTATGCTTGTACATATCTCGCATTCTTTTATACAACAAAATATCTATGACAACAGTACAGTAGAGAACGGTATACAATATATAGTTGTATCAATAATTCATTCATAAATATGAGATGCAAGACAGCCTCGTTCTCTTAAGACTTAAGACATAACATTATCGGGTCGTGATTGCATAAAATACATATAAGTACGTACTCTTCTTGATTACTCTGATGTCCAGTCTTTCGGTAGAACTTTTGCATCGGTTTTCTCCGCGTCTAGTAGATTCGACTTTTTGTTTTTTTTTTTTTGTTTTTATTTAAATTGTCCTTTAAACTCGAAAAACAAATGTGTGTGTATCGTTATTACTCGATATAATCCTTAATACCACGGTAAAGAATGGGTTTCTTCTAATACTGTTAGACCTTTGTAATTATAGTAATAAAAGGAAAAAAAAGTCGACAAAATAATAACAATCGTGCGTGACTTTCATGACAGTTGCACTTACGATTAGATACGTAGATCTATTCTTTTTTTCCTTTCTTTCTTTCTTTCTTTCTTTCTTTCTTTCTTTCTTTCTTTCGTTCTTTCTTTCTTTCTTGTAAAGGAACATGACGATCTGTGCGATTTTCGCTCTCAAACAAAAGCGACGAGAGAACTGCGTATTACTTCTTCTTAAACAAGTACTTTCGGCTATAATACGAATGTTGTAAAGTAGGCCAATCGTTTCGTGCTCCCTTCGTACGGAAAATGGCGAACCGGCGAGCCGGCGAACCGAGCGCTTTCGCAAATATATTATATCGTGGAGCGACTTCGTTCGTTTAAATCTTTAACAAGAGAGAATATCCGTTTTAGTGAAAAAATATGCTATTTACATGTAAGGTATCTAGTTGTGCGTCGATTCATTAATTCGCCGTTTATCGGGTGTATCAAAATCTACTTAAAGGGATGAACGATTCGTACAGCCGTTGTTTTCACAAATCCTTCTTCTTTTTTTTTTTTTTCTTTTCGTTTTCTTCTTCTCTGCAAATGTAAACATGCGTGTATGATTTCCGGCTGGAGAATCCTAATCCGATAAAAATCGACGATATATTTTTACCCATGAAAACCGTCGGGATACCAAGTAATTGTACTCTGATTGAAAACACGTAAAAAATGGCATAAACCACCAAAAAGGAAAAGCTGTTTCTCTTTCTTTTTTTCTTTCTTTCTTTCTTTCTTGTCTTTTGGTTTGTGGCTCGCGGTGGGGAGGGAAGGGGGGGGGGAGATTCGAATTGCAAGCGAATTGTCGGCAGTTTTTTTTGTCGATAGATTACGAATCATAGAGAGATCAATCGTGTCCTATGTGTGTGCTTTTATAACTATGTGAAACAACTAATCATAAATGTGTGAATGTCTCTTTTGTTAGATAACGAGTGCTTTGATTGTTTAACGAGAGTGGTGAGAACACGTGAAATTGGAATATATTCGTGAGATTCGGTCGACCGATTGGATAATACGGGCAGTGGGTATGATGAGAGAGAGACGCATAGAAAATAGTTCTAGTGTGAAATTCAAACGTACACAGGATGCCAAAAATTTCGTTTGTCGACAGACGACCTAATTCGTCTCGTACTATATTATACACACTCATAACACCACCGCACCGACGTGTTCTCGGTACTTTTCGTTTTTTTTGTTTATCCTTCCTCTCCTATCATCTCCCAGGATCGGTTCTGTACAGTTATTATAGATTTTGGTGCTTTAACCTTCAAATGCTAAACTGATTTTTCACTCACTAGATATAGCTCGTTTCGTTTGAACGAAATCGATTCCTTTTCCCTAATATTTCCCTGTTGCATCGCTTCATATTTCATGGTTATTGTCGACAGATAATTAGGAAGAAGAACGTAAAATATGATTAGAGGAGATGAAACGTAAGTGCACACGATAAACGCATGTAAATATATCTAGCGATTGATTTGAACTGAATCTCAATTAGCATTTCAAGGTTACGAATCGTGCCAAAATCACACGAATATTTCTTCTTTCTTTTTTTTCTTTTCTTTTTTTTTTTTTTTTTTTTTTAAAAATTGAAATTAAATTTTTTCCATTAAAAAAAAAAAAAA